GTCCGTATATGACGGGTACGGAGACGGTGTACGGAGACTGCCGCTCCGCTCCGCCGGGGCGGACTGTCTGTGACCGCGCGGGGCGGGGCGGAAAATGACGGTTCACAGCGGAGCGGGACGGAAAATGACGGCTCACAGCGGAGCGGGGCGGAAAATGACGGTTCACAGCGGAGCGTGGCGGAAAATGACGGCTCACAGCGGAGCGGGGCGGAAAATGACGGTTCACAGCGGAGCGGGGCGGAAAATGACGGCTCACAGCGGAGCGGGGCGGAAAATGTCGGTTCACAGCGGAGCGGGGCGGAAAATGACGGCTCACAGCGGGGCGGGGCGGAAAATGACGGCTCACAGCGGAGCGGGGCGGACGGTGCAGCCGGACAAACACTCGGCACACTGCTCATTGGTTTATTGAAGGCGACATATATGATACAGCTCAAGCGTCTCCTCTCGTGTATGTATAGCAGACAGAGAGTAGAACAGACACCCGCTTGCCGGAGCGGCCGGGCGGGCGCGGCTGTGAGCCGCCGTCTCAACTGACACCGCCTATACAGCTCGGACGGCCTATCCAGTAGTATATTGATATATACCTGTCCGTGTGAGTGTCACAACACGCATCCAGAGCACTCAACATGGCGCGCTGTGCACTAGAGATGTCAATCGGATACCAACGTTTTGGTATACCGATACCAAACCGATACCAACTTGGTACTTGGTGTTTCAATCGTAATGTGTTTGGTATTTTGTTGGTATCATAAACCCTCACTAATGGATAAGAGGCTAAGAAATCGGTAAAGTTGGTATTTCCCTCATTTCCCAAGTTGGTTTGGTTTCGGTATTTTCCCGGGATTTTCGTTGGCATTTGGTTAGGTATCGGTATTCTGATTTTCTGTAATTGACATCGCTACTGTGCACCTCGGTGCCCGTGAGACAGCGTCCCCGTCCGCATGGGTGGAGAATGTTTGAAAAAGTTACCCCGGCCGGCGACCAATAGTCGGAAAGACGATATGCTCACATTGTTGTCAACGGTCATAATAAGCAAACCCCTTACGCAGCCTTCTTCAATGTTGGGTAGCTCAACCTCCTATAAAACAAACAGGGAGTCGATCCAGGAATATCGACCGGTCCCGGTCTCGCAGCTCAGTCGGTAGAGCGTTGGACTCCGCGTGGCAAGAGTACGCGTCCCGGTTACAACAGTCCGATTTCGAAGCGTGCAACGGACGCTCGGTGTTTATGAGTATCCTGACGAGTACGCTATTATAAACGGGTATGGTTGCGGTCTTTGGCACTGGCAGGCCAGTCGAAGGCAGTGAGGTCAAGCATTGTTTCAGAAAAAGTGCGCCGAAAACGCGCCAAATTTTCGAAACTGAACCCGATTTGAGAGCAGCCTTGGCATTGGCGACCACACGCGGGTCCTTGAGATTATGGTATGTTAAGCAAATAGTTAGTTACCTGATTTGCAATATTACGCCCATGGCAGTGAACATTTGAAGAACAAGTTTTCTTATCTCGTTTGGAGACAGTTTCTAGGATTTACCTACAAGAGTGGAAAAGTTACCCCGGCCGCGCCGGGGTAGGCTGAAAGTTACCCCGGCCACGGCCGGGATGGCCGGGGCAGGTTCTCCACCCATGCCCGTCCGACTGCCCGCCGAGCCGAGCCGAGCCGGCCGACCCGGCACGGCGGTCACGTGACCGAGCCGGCCGACCCGGCACGGCGGTCACGTGACCGAGCCGCCCGACTCCACCGGGGGGCGGTCACGTGACCGAGCCGCGCCGGACGGACCAGGCGCGGTGAACCGAGTCGGACGGTCCGGGAGCGCCCCATTTATACAGTTAAGCTAGGATGTGGGTTCTATATACAAAATATCGCAATGCCACGATCAGTTTCTACACTCAATCACATCACTTTTCACTGTCCCATTACCCACAATACCCACCCGGTAATTACCCACTGCATCACATACCACAGTCCAATTACCCACAATATCCGCCCGGTAATTACCCACAACATGCCATCTTCCGTGCAACTACCCACAATACCCGCCCGTTAATTACCCACTACATCACACCCTTGTGCTACTACTACATCTACTACTACTACTACTACAACTACATGACTACACTAGAGCGGACACCGGGGGCCGTGTGCCGGCTGACCGGCGCCGCTCTCAGTGCCGGCTGGTGCAGCACACACGGCAGCAGTCAGCTGGCGGCCCCGGCCGACTGGCTCGGCCTCTCTGCAGTCAGCTCATCACTGCACGGTCGGTAGTGCAGCGCATCAATCCAACCACCGACACACTATGACCCGACCGCCTTCCTGGCTCTCCAGCTGACGGTACAGCTGCCCTGTGGACAGAGCAGAGACACGTCTGAGGTGGACACGTCACACACAGACAGACACACAGACAGCGGTACAGCCATGTCCACACACCGCCGGCCAGTGACGTCACACACAGGACAGACGGCTGACGTGACGTCACCGTCGGCCGTGGTGGCCGTGACGCGTCACGTCACCGTCCGTGACGTGGCCTGCGGCGGTGGTCGAGTGTGTGTGTCTGAGAGGCCGGTGGCGCCGTGCAGCGCCTGTTGTGAGGGACTGACTGGTCAGAGGCGCGGCGCGCGGCGCCCTCTCACCTACCGGGGACATGGAGACCGAAGGTACGGGGAAAGCCATCACTGTACCGCAGGTCCGCCTCCTTCAGGGCGGTCAGCACGGCCCGGCCGGTGTTTGCCGTGCAGTGAAGGTGCAGAGTGTCCAGCTCCCGACACGACTTCACCAGTCTGTAACAGAGCAGAGCAGCAGAGCCGTCACACACAAACACAGCGGCACCAGCCGGCCGGACGTACGAGTCAGTGTCAGTGTCAGTAGTTCAGTGTCGGTGTGTTGGTGTCAGTGACAATGCGTCGGTGTCAGTGTGTCAGTGTGTCAGTGTGTCAGTGTGTCAGTGTGTCAGTGTGTCAGTGTCAGTATGTCAATGTGCCTGTGTCAGAGTGTCAGTCATTGTGTCATAGCCGGTGTCAGTCAGTGAATCAGTGTCAGTGAGTCGGGGTTAGTATGCTGATGTCAGTGTCAGTGTGTCAGCGTCAGTGTGTCACTATCAGTGTGTCAGTGTCAGTGTGTCAGTGTCACTGTGTCAGTGTGTCAGTGTCAGTGTGTCAGTGTCAGTGTGTCAGTGTCAGTGTGTCAGTGTCAGTGTGTCAGTGTCAGTGTGTCAGTGTCAGTGTGTCAGTGTGTCAGTGTCAGTGTGTCAGTGTCAGTGTGTCAGTGTCAGTGCAGTGTCAGTGTGTCAGTGTCAGTGGCTGACGTGACACCCCCTCGCCAGTGTCTGCTGACTGACCTGGTGACCGCTGCTGCTGTGAAGGCCGTCTCTGCCGGCCGCTGGAGATCCCCCAGTGTAAGGTCACACAGCCCGGGGCAGCCGCTGAGAATGTCCAGCACCGCGTCAGGGACGCCGCCGGACAGGGTGAGATCATACAGCTCAGGGCACCTGGTGAGGGGCTCCAAACTACCGGCCGTGAGATCAGGACAGTCTGGAAAACACACAGACACACATACAGACAGGATCAGCCGACTGGGATACATGTCGATATATGGAAACACGAAACAGCTATGAATTCGCATGTTTTTATGGACACCGTAAGCCATGGTATAACAGTGGTACTATATGATATGCCATATAACCATGAATGATTAATGAATGTGATAACATGAATGAATGAACATGATAACATGAATGTTCATGCTATCTAATCGCATATCCATGTTATGGATATGCGATCAGTTCAGCCAATGCATTGAAGTGCATTGAACATTGCATTACAATCGCAATATGTAGTTCAACTAACTATGAGGGAATATGTCACTGAGTGAACAGTCCTCCGCCATTTTGGAGCTCAATTGGCTTCATTATTTCACAAAGCACATTGGCTATGTATCACACCTGTCTCCATAAGGTCCGACAACGGCACACCGTTACTCGGTGTCCGCCATTCGCTGAGCTCATATATCAGCGGCCTGCCCGTGCTGCCGCTGCTCACCGTATATCTCCAGTACTGTGACCGTCCGTCCCAGGTCAGCCAGGTAACTGATGGTGTCGGCAGCCACCCCCTCGAGCGACACTGACAGATCATCATCCTCGTACCATTCCGGCCACCTCGGCTCCGTCACCTCCGGCCCTGTCGGACAGAGCTGTGTCAGCTGACTGCAGTCGGACAGAGCTGCCGCCAGCTCCCCGCTGCACCACTGACACCAGATTGTCAGACACTGACACAGCCGAGCGGCCGCGTAGCAATTTTTGGCACCAGCACTCAGCAGTCATAAGTACCTAGGTATGTAGAATGTAAATATGAACATAATAAGTACCTATATGGCTATATGCGATAAGTATATGCGTAATAATAAGTAATACAATAGCGTAAGTAACACAATAGTCTATGAAACTACTTATACTACTCTCATTGGTTGCACTATGTCTATAATCATTCCTCATTGGAATAACTGCTTACTAATTGCAGCAATGCCTGCATTCCCGTGCTGGCCGCCTTCGATCGTGGCGCCACCTATACTCTGTATAACCGCCTCGCCAGGGCCGCGGCCAGTCAGTCTCGCCAGTCTGCTCAGACTCGTCGTCAGCGAGCTCTCTATGTAGTCAGCAGTCAGTCAGTCGTCGATTAATACTCATTACGCTTGTTTGGAAATTTGTTGCTTGTGACAATGCAACTATCGCTAGTACCTCAACTTTTAAATCACCCCGTGACGTTACACTAATATTCCACGCATATGCCACAAGATTGAACACTATCGAAGGCATGCATTGAACCCCTTCCCCCTCTCACCACAATGCGAGTAATATACACGATTAACGATGAAACTTGCTAGTTGATGCTGATTGGTTCGTCCATATGCCGTCTTCGCTGACCATTTGCATATACCAGCATTACATGTATGATCCGTGGTATCTCACCTCTGACATTAAGGTACCCGAGGCCCTCCGGCAGCTGCCCCCTCAGTCGCGGGAGGTCGGCGGGGGTGACTGACAGCCACCGCAGCTCAGGGCACCTGGTGAGGGGCTCCAGGCTCACGGTGTCAGGGACGCCGCCGGACAGGGTGAGAATGTGCAGCCTAGGGCACCTGGTGAGTGGCTCCAGGCTGCCGGCCGTGAGATCAGGAGAGTCTGGAAAACACACAGACACATATACAGACAGGATCAGCGGACTGCAATACATGGCGATATATGAAAAAAACGAAACAGCTATGAATTCGCATGCGGTTTTATGGACACCGTAAGCCATGGTATAACAGTGGTACTATATGATATGCCATATAAACATGAATGAATGTGATAACATGAATAAATGAACATGATAGCATGAATGTTCATGTTATCTATGGATATGCAATCAGTTCAGCCAAAGCATTGAAGTGCATTGCACATTGTATTACAATCGAAATATGTAGTTCAACTAACTATGAACTACAGTCTTCCTCCATTTTTGAGCTCAGTTGGCTTCATTATTTCACAAAGCACATTGGCTATGTATCACACCTGTCTCAATGAGATCCGACAACGGCACACCGTTACTCGGTGTCCGCCATTCGCTGAGCTCGTATATCAGCGGCCTGTCCGTGCTGCCGCTGCTCACCGTATATCTCCAGTTGTGTGACCGTCCGTGCCAGGTCAGCCAGGTGACTGATGGTGACGGCAGCCACCCCCTGGAGCGACACTGACAGACCACGAGCCAACGGGTTCCATTCCGGCCACCTCGGCTCCGTCACCTCCGGCCCTGTCGGACAGAGCTGTGTCAGCTGACTGCAGTCGGACAGAGCTGCCGCCAGCTCCCCGCTGCACCACTGACACCAGAGTGTCAGACACTGACACAGCCAGCACTAACACATCCGAGCGGCTGCACAACGATATTTTAGCAACAGCATACATTAACGTAAATATGCAAATATGAGCAACATAAGTATTACGAATTTTGCAAGGCACATTGGCTTAGGCACTGGGCAGCCAGTCATGGTATAGTAACGGATCAGGTTAGTAGACTACATAAATATATGGTTCGCAGTGGTTGCAATGAAACCATTTCAAATTACCATAATTGCTACAATAATATTTCATGCATGCACTTGATGCTCACACTATATGCAAATGCATGCATTGCATCACTCTAACAATACCATATAACACAAACAAGGCTGTAAGATGTTGGCTGAATTCGAACAGTTCGTCCATTTGCCGTCTGTCTCTCTGTCCATTTGTATATCCATATGCATTGTCCATTATACCGGCATTACATGTATGATGCGTATTGCGTGGCATCTCACCTCTGACATTGAGGCGCTGGAGGCCCTCCGGCAGCTGCCCCCTCAGTCGCGGGAGGTCGGCGGCGGAGACTGACAGCCGCTTCACAGTCTCCCGTGAGCTCCGCAGCTCCGTCAGCTCGCTGTCACCGACTCCGACCGGAAGGATGACAGTGTTTGGGTCCACCCTGATGATGGCACCACGAAGTTGACTTGGAATAGTAGTAATTTGTGCTGGAAAGGTGATTGAACCAATGTCAGGCATTTGTCTAGGTCAAACATAGTACACTTACCTACATACAGGTATTGAAAACACAGAGTGAAAATTGTTTGTGGCTACCAGACATGTGCATGGATCCGAGTGATGGATCTATGATCTCAGTGGATCTCGAAGCAAAGTACAGGTTCTCCGGCGTGAAAAATACATCTTGGATCTATGATCTCACATGATCTGACGATAAAAATAAGAACATGGATCTATGATCTGAGTGGATCCCACCATGCACCACATTTGAAACCATGTTTTAACCCTAGAACGCCTAGGGGGGGGGGGGGTGTATCAACCCCCCCCCCCTGAGGTTTTTTCGAAGTGCACGCTAAACGGCTTGTCGTAGCGGGCTGAAATTTTCAATACCCTCTGGGGCAACCTTTGCGCATCTTTTGCCGAAAAAAAAATTGATCGGGTCATGTCAGGTCACGGAGTTATGACGTCATAAGAGGTACAGCCTCCGGCCGACAGTGACCAAACGTGTGCGCCGAATCCCTAGGTTTTCTGCCGGTGATACCCACATTGTTTGATGGATCATGATGAACCTTCCCATGCATGTTGGGGCAAGCATTGGCTATCGTGTGGTGCAAGAAAATTGACCGGTTCAGGTCAGGTCACGGAGCTATGACGTCACAAGAGGAACAGCGTCCGGTACTATTTTTGAAAAGCGCCCGAACCACTATTTTGCTAATTCTTGTCACCTCAATGGGAATATGCAGCAATATTAGCTTCTATAGGGAGCAAATGGACCTCCCAAATCCAAAAATACAATCAGATTTCAAAAATTTACATTTTGATTTTTCGAATTTCTGCCGCCGACTGTGACCTTGCCGACTTCCGGCGCTCCCAACGCGCCATTTTTAGAGCTAGGGAAACGAAATACATACCAAACGATAGAGAATTGATCAAGGAACACGATAGTAAAGGTTTCAAGTCGATATCTCCCACCGTTTTGCCGCAATCGCCGCGGAAAGTTGAAAAAGTTTGATTTTTTCGGAAAATTTGACCTTTGACCGGTCATAAGTAGGTCAAATGTTGACCTAGGACCAAAAAATATACCACCAATCGCGAGATCTCGTTGAGAGCAATCCGTTGGTTTTTTCGGCTAAGCTCTACGACCTTCCGTTTCGAAACGCCAGGGGGGGGGTCGTAACAACCCCCCCCCTGGTCGTTCGTGTTATGAGAAATGGCCTGGTCGTGCGAGGGTTAAAGGGTTTCTATGCCAATAAGTGACACAAACTATGGATTATGACGTGCGATCGCATAAAATCACTAAAACAGAACGTTTGTGAGTTGAAACAAGTGCTTTTTGGGGATATATGTGTTGCCAAAAACTAAGTGAGGATCTATGATCTCACTGGATCTCAAGCAAAAAATGAGACTCGGATCTGTGATCCCTACGGATCTCTCGATAAATTACAGAGCTGGATCTATGATCCCGTCGGATCCGAGATCAGGATCCGTGGGATCAGATCCCAGATCCATTTTCTCGGATCCATGCACATGTCTGGTGGCTACAATGCTGTGATAATTCCGTGTCTGAGTGAATATGTACTTTATCAAAACGATGTGAATTTCATAAATTACTGCGACTTTCCGTAACAGAATATTCAACAAATAAAATGATAATGGGTCTTTGACATACAAAACAAAAATCACCATTAATTAGTACATTATATTCCGAAAAAGGCATGTTTTCAAGATGTCAATTAATCAATCTGACAGTTTTTGAACCTTTTCACTTAAGTATTTTGTTCAGCACTTATGTGTAGCCAATTATTTCAATTTCGTATCGTTATAAAATTTGTAGCGTAAATTTTACGTCCAATACAGGCTCAAATCATTGACCATCACCATTCACCACACGGTACACGACTTGTCATCCTACGGCTTACCATGGCTTATGGCTTCCGTCTTACCTTAGGATGAGGCAGCATTACCTACAGTACATGTAATATGTGTTGTATCCAGTTATTCTTGGTTTGATTTAGGCTTCAGATTTTCAAGGATGAACTGCTTCTCCACGTTATTTATGAACATTTTTTTAGAAAAAAGTAGTTCCTTAGAGCAAAAATAACAAGCAAGGAGCGGTGCCGCCGACCAGTTTTCCTGTTCTTGTGTCCCCGTGTCGCCACTGGCCCCTGCCCCGTTCAGGAGCGCCCGGCAGCGCCACCTGCACCTGACCAGTCCGGCAGCGTTTGGGGTCGCCACGCACCGCCGACAATCAGCTGACGCGGCCGGCGGCGAGTCTCAAGGTCACTGGAGGTCAGCCGGGCCGCGGCCCGCCGGGGTGGCCGTGACGTCACAGCCAGCGAACGTTGAGCGCCGGAACAGCTACTGTTGTTTATCCCTTCCTAGCCATTCATATATGAGTAACTTCAACCTCTGCTCACCATCCGTGACAAGTAGCGTAATCCGAGACCCCAGCTCCGTGGCCAGGTGACTGATGGTATCGGCAGCCACCCCCTGGAGAGATACCGACAGACCACTCCCGTACCGTCCCGGCCACCTCGGCTTCGTCACCTCCGGCCCTGTCGGACAGAGCTGTGTCAGCTGACAGCTGTCGGACGGAGCTGCTGCCGGGTCGGGAGGCGGCTGACACTGTGGTGTCAAACCCTGACACAGACGACACTGACAAAGCCAGGGTCGATCGGCACTGTTGGACAGTAATTGAACATTGTGCACAATGCATGCACTATAATGCGTTTCCTCAACATATTCTTACCGGCAACGTATAGCGTCCTCAGTGACGTCGGCAGCAGCCGCAGCCACCGCCCCGTTCCGAAGGACGGGACCCTGACGGTCAGCTCCTCCAAGCGGGGAAGACTCTGCAGGAGCGCCGTCAGCTGGTCCTCGCCAAGGGCTGACGGAGCGTCGAACGTCGTCACGGTCCTTAGCGCCTCTCTCAGCACTGTGGTATCACTGTCTGCCGGTGGCTGCGGCTCCGTCTGTACTGTGACGTCATGACACGCTTTTGAAATTTTACTGAAAAGACAAGAAAAAAGGAACATAAATCAAAATGCAAAAGAAGTTTACAACTTTAGTTGGCTCCTTTGATGATCCGATATGCATTTACATATCGTCGTCAGCAATAGTATGTTGTCAAATCTATTCAGTTGTATAAAATCGTTCAGAGTTGATTTCATACGAATCTGAACGATTTGATGCGACCGATTATATTTTGTGACACGATTGTTGATGAAGACATGTAAATACGTGCGGGATATGATGTCCCGATCTGGCCAACTTTATGCAGGACGGCTGTCGAAAACTGGAACAATATGATCGAGACTAAACGGCTAACTTGCGAAAGATGGTACGAATTCAAGGCATGTTTCTTTGATTGGGCGGAAATTACAATTACAAGCTACTCGACCTTCAAGGACCTAGTTATGTTTTATTTTTTTACACCTTCTACAAATAAAGTTTACTTTTCACCATGACAGCTCTCCGAAATATCTCAGCCCCCGCAGCCACCCCTGCTGCCTCCCAGTCTCACCCCTGGGGACGGCCGGATGGCGCCGCTCGCCGGCGGACGCAGTAGAAACACACCAAACCGAGTAGAAACACGCCACACGCCAAACCGTAGCGATCCTCCACCACGGTCTGGCGAGTGGTCCGCTCTTCAACCAGTGCTTGCTCCAGGAGGACCACCGCACCGTGTGGTGCGGCGTTCTCCCCCTGGACTTTGGCCACCTCCTCGCGAAGGGAGGCCACCTCCCGGCGAAGGGCGGCCAGGTCTTCACGCACATCTGTCATCTCCATCTGGAACGCAGAATTACCGTTTTTTTACGTTTCTACTAATCATTTAAAGGTGACTTAGTACGTAGCGTTACGTCGTACGCATTACGACATGTCGTGCAGCGTCGTGTCCGATCACGTCACAAAACGACATGTCATTACGTATTACGACATGTTTTGTCATGCAACCCGCATTGTTGCATACCAGGCAGGCAAGCTTGGCAGGCAGGCAAACAGGTCTTAGGTAACCAATATCAAAATTTACTATCGTTACTACTTTTTCGCAAAAAAAGCGAGATAATAAAGACACGTTTATCACTACGAATGTTTACCCCGTGGCCAGGCCTTTTTCATAACGCGGACGGTGCAGAGGGAGGGTCTGGCTGTACGACCCCTGGCGATTGGCTCCTGATGCACTTAGAAACACCAGATGTATACTTATAGGATGGATCGGATGTATAGGACACAGCCAGTCACACAGCAGGACTGACACAGTCACACAGCAGGACCTCGGCTAAGGAATTTCGACTGGGGGATGGGGGACAAACCAGACTCCAGAAATCAGAATGTCATATACCACCTAATATGCACCGTATAAGCGGACCTTTACACCACACCTAACATTCATACCATATACCGTAGGTAACGGTATACCAAAATTCTGCCTAATCAGTTAAGCATACGTAAACATGTCTAAACAAACTTCTATCAAAGGTTTGGAGGCCAGCGTAGGGCCCTCAGAAGCCGAAGTCGAGCCGTCGGAGGCTAGCATGGTCATTTAGAGTCCGCTTTGGGACCTCCTTCCAGGCGGTGGGGGGCATTTTTTGCCCCCCCCCCCCTTTTAGTTTTTCAATATATCTCGAGAACCGCTGCGCCGATCGTCACCAAACTTTCAGTACCCTCCCGGGAGCAGCTAGCGCATATATGGTGACCAATTTTTTTCAAAGGCTATGATAGGTTGGCCGCTAATGACGTCAGAGTGACGTCATTTTTGCCATTTTCGACCCAAAAAAAGGTTTCGCGGGAAGAGCTGTCAGGCCTACAGCTTTAGAGATACAGGAAAATGTTTCAGACATAAAAGGTGTGGAATCAAAAGGGCTACAAAACTGCTATTTGGGTTTTTCATTTTTTTTTGGATTTGGATCCCCAAAAATAAAAATAGATGGTTTAATATAATAGCCGAAAAATCCAAAAAGTTTTTTGAATTTCGAAAAAAAAAACAGAAAATATGTGATAGTCCCTACCACCTTACATCTACATACCGAATTTGAGATCGATACCTCCTTTTTTGGCCAAGTTAGAGCGAAAAAAAACTGTTCAAAATTGATGACGTGAATTTTTCAACCTCAATTTTTAGCAATTCTAGACCTCGTAGCGCAAAACAAAGACCACCATTAGGCTCCCCGTGACGAGCTGCATCGAATCGATACCCATTTTATCCAAAAATATCAATTTTGAAATTTGACCTTTTTTGACCTGACCTTGACATGACCTCCACCAGAAAGTGACCTGAACCGTACCTGATGGTCGTATAACCAACACCATTGAGTTGGAAATGAAAAACTGGCCATAAAACATGCATCGTATAACCTTAGTAAAGTTGGGCTCATGTGGTGACCCTTGGTGACCTTTGGTGACCTGACCTGTGACCTGACCTGGTATGACCAGTGACCTCTATTAGCAACATATGTACTAGACAACTGACGCCTTATCGCTGATTTTCGACAAAATGCGTTTTACTCGGTGTTATAGCGCTTTCCCTAGAAGCCCCGTGAACGGTAAAACATTTTATCTTTGACCTGACCTGTGACGTCATCGGTGACCCCGAGGTCAATGAAATTTGGTTTCCCCTTGTCAAACTTGACAGGGCTATCGAACGCCGTTTGAATTTTCCGGATCCGTCCAGTAGTTTCGGAGATACGGGGGGGGGGGCAAAAAATGTCCCCCCCCCCCGCCGCGCGGAAGGTGGCTGGTAGGCCCACCGCCTTTTGGGTTAATGTTTTTGGGTTAAATAGCCAAATGTGGACGTGGGGCCCAAAGAAGCCAGTGCGTAGCCCTTTTAGACCAGCGTGGGGCAATATAAGGGCAGCGTGGGTTCCTCTAAGACCAGCGGCGTGGGGTCTTCTGAGGCCAGATTGGGGCCCACTGGGAACAACTCAGCTTGGGGCTATCTAAGGACAATGTAGGCCCTCTTAGGTTAACGTGGGGCCCTCTGTCCTCTGAAGTCTAAGGTTGGCGCTGGGCCCTCAGAGGCTGGCGTTGGGCCATCAGAGACCACCTAGAGGGCCTCGACGGTCAGACTGTAGCCCTTATGCATGTTTAACCCACGAGCCGCTGGGGGGGGGGGGACATAAAGTTGCCCCCTTTACGTTTTGCGGAATATCTCCGAAACCTGATAAGCTACGAACGTGAAACTCAAGGTAGCTTCAAATGAATACCTAGGCAATGTTTGAGCATAATTTGGTGGTTGTAGCACTTAAGATGACGTCACAGTGACGTCATAAAATATTGTCGTTTTCCTATACGGACCGTTTCTGATGTCGCTGAGCATGAAACTCAACTGTAAATGAACTAGACAGCACCTGCTGTCATCCTGAAACACCTAAATACACTTCCATCTAGTTCCTGACCAATAATCGGCCCTTTATATGCGGTCCCATATATCTGATATATCGTGAGGAAACTGGAGAGTCGCAAATCTATAATTTCACTTATGACGTCACTGTGACGTCATTTCAGATGAAATCGACATTAAATTTGGACACAACCTTGGCTAGGTATTCAGGAATATATGTGCAAAGTTTCGCTTCTCTATCTCGTCGCGTTGCGACGATATCGTCGCAGAAGTAAAGGGGGGCAACTATATGCCCCCCAGGCGGCCGGCGGGTGGCGCGGAGGCCCAGCGGCCGCCGGGTCCTTTAAACATGGATTACACGACACTTTCATTTGTGGTCCTCAGTGACCTGACCTCTGTTACCTGACCTGGTATCAGTGACCTCAAATAGCAAAATATGTGTTTCACGCGCAATTATTTCGCCCCTTCGGGGCGCGGGTTAACAAAAAGATCATTTTTTATTTTGTTTTACATTTTAGGGGATTATTTCAAAAGTCACTTTTTTAATTTGGGGTTCAAAATCAAAACAAATATATAACAAACAAGATAGCAGTTTTGTAGCGCTGCTCGTTTTATATCTTTTTGTTTTTCAACATTTTTCTTTATCTTTAAAGGTAGTGTGCCAACTTCCAATGATTTCCCATTTTATTTTTCCTAGGATAAGAAGCTTCTGTTTTTACCTAATATCGCAAAAAAATCAAAAATGGGCCTAAAATAGTGCTTTTTTCGCCTAAAATTTTATCGGTTTTTCGATATGTATAACAACTGTAGTGGGCTCACCTGCAAACAGGCGTCGGCAACAATAGTGAATGCGGCGCACATGTGACAATAAGCAAAGGTCATTATAGAATTGCGACGTACGGGAATGAGTTATCAGCTGTCTAATCGTAGACAACAAAATGTCGAATTTAAACTGTAAGCCTGTATTGGTATTGTTTCTTTAATTTGGCTGTCGAACATTAATTTATGGTTTGAAATATTATTTTATGTAAAATAACTGATATGAAACAGCCGTCTCGAAAGTTATGACCCCATCTCACCACATGAAAGTGGCAGAAATGACAATGATCAGCTGACGCATTTTTCTTGGCCGAAGTCAGAGCGCACGGCCCGACGCACCACCACCGCACCACAAAGTATGAGCAGAAGCCGCGCCCAAAGCCAGGGCCCCGGTAACGTGAGGTAGCCGAGTCGGGGCAGCGTGCGCTGACCCAAGCCGGGGCCGCAGCTTTGGGCGCGGTCTACCGCATCCCCGCGGGTAGCCCCGGGCTATCACATAACACCGGGAGGACGCGCGGCCCCGGCTTGGGTCAGCGCACGCTGCCCCGACTCGGCTACCTCACGTTACCGGGGCCCTGGCTTTGGGCGCGGTCTACCGCACCACCTATCAGGCGTGTTCGAAACCGCAGGAGCTGATGATGAACGGGTTTATCGAAACTTGATTGGATGAGCCTATCGGTGATAGCGATTTCAGTGTGTGCATTTAATGTTCATAGTGGTGTGAAATGTGGTTGGGGTACGACCGACAACCCGTCGGGGCGAATTTCGCACTGGGGTACTCAAAATTTGAAGAATTTAAGACGTTTCCATGAGTTTTGAAGGTATGGATAAGTTCTAAAAATCCGGTTCTCCTTATCTGGGCCATTAACTCCATACGATCCAGGAAAGCTAGCACACTACCTTTAACCCGCGCGGGGCTGGGGTCTCCAGCCGAACGCGCGGGGCGGGGGGGGGGGGGTAAATTTTACCCCCCCCCTGTTATCTCCCGAACTAATGGTCCGATTTGGAAAATTCAAACGCCAATCGAAAGATCTCATCACGAACAACTAAAAACATGCACTTAATTTTAAGTTTGAAGTCAAGGTCAAGGTCAGGTCAAGGGTACAAATTGCAAGTTCCTACAGTATCGGCCTTGCACCGTAGTTGCCGAAGAATGGAGTCATGGACTGAGACTGATCGCCCAAAACGTGTTCTTAGGCTACCAAGACAATATTCGTTGCATACAATATCATTCAGAGGTCAAGGTCAAGGGCAGGGCAGGTCAGGTCAGGTCACCAAAAACAAAATATAGAAAAGGGCATGTGCGACACATGTTTTATGGGTCATTTTACTCATAGAATTCAATGGGCACACTCAATAAGTGATATGGACCACCTCTGGATGAATTTCAGGTCGAGGTCAGGTCAAGGTCAGGTAAAGTGAGGTCAAATTTTGAAGTTGGTTGTTAAGGCCTAAAAAGGTGTCTATCTGATGCAGTTTTCACGGCGAATCGAATGGTGCTATTTTTGTTTCCGTACGAGGTCTAGAACTTCCAAAAAAGTCATTTTTCAAAAAATTTGTGTGTCGTACTCGTGACGTCACACAATTTTGAATAACTCCCACATTTTTGAACCGATTCTTCTAAAACTTG